ACAAAGACAAAAGAAAAAAATGTTTTGACTTCTACTGTCATCTATATGTAAATATGTATACCTGCCCACTTCATAGCTAGTATCAAAAAACAAAAGAAAGCAAACAAAAAAACAGAAATCATGAAGTGTTGGCAAGGATATAAAGAAATCAGAAAATTAGAACTCTTATGTACTGTTATGTGAAATGGTACAGCCACTGTGAAAAAGAGAATGGCACTTCCTCAAAAAATTACAAATAGAATTACAATATGATCCAGCAATTCCACCCTTCGGTATATATCCCAAAGAATTGAAAGCAGGGTCTCAAAGAAATATCTACACTTCTGTGTTCACAGCAGCATAGTTCACAATAGCTAAAACACGGGAGCACCCCGAGTGTCCAGTGACATCAACGGATAAAGCAAGCATGGTATATACATACAGTGGAATATTATTCAGCCTTTAAAAGGAAGGAAATTCTGACATATGCAACAACATGAACCTTGATAACACTATGCTGAGCAAAATAAGTCAGTCCCAAAAAAAAAAAAAAAGATACTGTATAATTCTACTTTCACCAGATACTTAGTCAAAATCATAGATATAATGAGTAGAATGATAGTAGCCAGAGACTTGTCAGGAGGTGGGGAGTTATGGGGAGTTATTGTTTAAAGGGTACAGAATTCCAGTTTTACAAGATGAAAAGAGTTATAGATATGGATGATGGCGATGGATGCACATTATAAAAGTATTTAATGCCACTGAACTGTACACTTTAAAATGGTTAAGGTGATAAATTTTATTATAAGTTATAAGTATTTTGCCACAGTGGGAAAAAAAAAAGTATGCCTTGCTTAAGAGCAGGAATTAAGATCAGTAGGAATAAAGAAATAAAAGGTTGCTTCATTTTTTCTTGGCCCTTCCACCAATACTCCATACTAGGTACTACTACACTATGGTCAGACTGGACTATTTACCATTTCCTGACCCTGCTCTATAGTCTCCTGTCTCATTACTGCTATTTTCCTAACCTAGACTGCCTTCTATGGCTGCCTCTCATTTCAGTCTCCAATATTCTACACTTTCTTCAAGGACCACAAAAATGGCATCCCCAAGAAACCTGTCTCAAAGAGCTAATACCTCTTTCTGTCCACAGTAGTTTATTCAGCCCCCTATTTCCAAATACTACAGTATCCTTGCATTATGATTGTTTGTGTATGTTCTCTTTTATCGCAGAAGGACATATTCAAAGCCTTTGGTTTAAAAATCTTGTTTGCAGAATGCCTGGGTGGTTCAGTTGGTTAAGCGTCCCACTCTTGATTTCGGCTCAGGTCATGATCTTATGGTTCATGAGACAGAGCCCTGCATCAGGCTCTGTGCTAACAACACAGAGCCTGCTTGGGATTCTCTCTCTACCTCTCCCTCTGCCGCTACCCTACTTGTGCTCGCTCTTTCTCTCTCAAAATAAAAAATCATTTAACTAAATAAATAAGAATAAAAATCTTGTTTGCTATTTATGTTTCCTTAAGAATTAGAGAGATGTTTATACCTCAGTGTTGCTTAAAAAAGTAAATGAATATTAGAACTAGATGTCATCCAGTTCCAGTCCTAAGTCAAACAATCACATGCTTTTCCCCTGGTATCTCAATTAGTTATACAGAGGCTGTGTTGCAAAGCACAGGCAAATCCTCTGTTCTACTCCCAACAGCAAGTGATCCATGCTAGCTCTTCAGTGCAGAATTACTCAGAAAAAAAAATAGGGGGGGGGGGGATGGGCATGGAAGAGGACACTTGTGGGGATGAGCACTGAGTGTTATGTGGAAACTAATTTGACAATAAACTATTTGTAAAAAAAAAGAATTACTCAGAAAACTGAAGTATTCCATCCTCAGACAAAGGACTGAAAGGAGAAAGAGCAATAGCTGGATATTATTCAGCAATATATTTAAATGAAAACAAGGAAGAGAGTCTTTAGGCAATGTCTTCTCTGGGTATCCTGCAATTTTTAACTCACAATCAAATGAAAGAATCAAAATATTGTCCACCTAGAGACACCTAGAGAGCAGGTAGCCCCCAATGTTTGGAGTTCCTAGGCCACTGGCTACACACATGCTGTTCTTACTTCTTGGCCTGCAGTCCGTCATCCTCATTCCCCCCACAGGCCTAGCAAAAACCTCAAAAACCCAGGTAAGAAGTCAAATTCTCTAGGAAATCTTTTCTGCCCACTCAAAAATAAGATTTGATAGAAACAGAAGGCCTTCATTAATGTTTATGTTATCAACTAAATTACTCAGGATAGGGGTGCCTGGCTGGCTATAGTCCATAGAGCATGCAAAGGTGTTTGTGAATTCAAGCCCCACACTGGGTGTAGAGATGACTTAAAAATAAAATCTTTAGGGACACCTGGGTGGCTCAGTTGGTTAAGCATCGGATTTCCACTCAGGTCATGATCTCACAATTTGTGGGTTTGAGCCCCGCATCAGGCTCTGTGCTGGCAGCTCAGGGCCTGGAGCCTGCTTACGATTGTGTCCCTCTCTCTCTGCCCCTCCCCTGCTGGCACTCTGTCTCTCTGTCTCTCAATAATAAATAGATATTTTAAAAACTAATATAGCAGGGGCACCTGGGTAGCTCAGTTGGTTAAGTGACCAACTCTTGATTTCACCTCAGGTCATGATCTCACAGTTTGTGGGTTCAAGCTCTGCACTGGGCTCTGCGCTGATGGTGCAGTGCCTGCTTAGGATTCTGTCTCTACTCTCTCTGCCCCTCCCCTGTTCGCTCTCTATGTCTCTCTTTAAAAACAAATAAACATTTAAAAAATTTTTTTAATAAAAAAATTAAAAAACTAAAAACATAATAAAATATTTTAAAAAAATAAAATATGGGGAGGCTAGCTGGCTCAGTCTGTTGAGTATCTGACTTCAACTCAGGTCATGATCTCACTGTTCCCGAGCCGGAGCCCTGCGTCAGGCTCTGCACTGACAGCTCAGAACCTGGAGCCTGCTGGGGATTCTGTGTCCCCCTCTCTCTCTGCTCCTTCTCCACTCACACAAATAAACATTTTTAAAAAAATTTTAGGGGCGCCTGGGTGGCTCAGTCGGTTAGGCGTCCTACTTCAGCTCAGGACATGATCTCACGATTTGTGGGTTCGAGCCCCGCGTCAGGCTCTGGGCAAACAGCTACCTTAAAGCCTGGAACCTGTTTCAGATTCTGTATCTCCCTCTCTCTCTGACCCTCCCCTGTTCACACTGTCTCTCTCTCTTTTAGAAATAAATAAAACATTAAAAAATTTTCTTTAATTTTTAATAAAATAAATAAAATTACTAAGAATGTCTGGGATCACACCTGAGCTATTACTCTTAATATTTCCATGCGACAACGGATGTACTTTTTGTGAGATAACTCTTTGTTTTTTTCTAGATTCAAATCCTATAAGCAAAGGAGTTAAAAAAAAGAAAAACAGAACTGCCTTTTCAAAGCCTAAGCAGTTCTGAAACAAACTGATACAAAAAGCAGCTGAAATTTCTTTTTAATTTTTTTTTTAATGTTTATTTATTTCTGAGACAGAGACAGAGCAGGAACAAGGGAGGGGCAGAGAGAGGGAGACAAAAAATCTGAAACAGGTTCTGAGCTGTCAGCACAGAGCCCAACATGGGGCTCGAACCCTCAAACCGTGAGATCATGACCCAAGCTGAAGTTGGATGCCCAACCTCCTGAGCCACCCAGGCACCCCAAAGCAGCTGAAAATTCAACACTGCCTTTAATCAAAGTGCAATTTTAGACCAACTAGATTTAGACTCCCTGGGCCTGTTCCTATTCTTTAAAACGGGTGTCTACCTAGGCCAGTTCCTAACACACAGGAAACCCACAAAAATCGAGAACCATTTTTATTACCTATCTCACGAGTATATTTTGGCACCGGATTCATTCCAATGACTAGTTCTCAGTCTAAACCAGTGCTGTTCAATACAGTGGCTATATGTAACTACTGGTCACTTGAAATCTGGGTAGTACAAATTGATATGTGCTTTCAGTATACAATACATATAGTATTTCAAAGACTTGGTAAAAAAATAAAATAAAATAAACTACCATATTAACATTTTGTATGTTGATATGTGATTACACAAAAAGGGATTATACTTTGTATATATTGGACTAAATGAAATAAAAGCAATTTCATCTGTTTCTTTTTACTTTATTAATGTGGCCTTTAGAAATTTTTGACTTATATATTTAGCTATCATTACATTTCTCTCAGACAGGTTGACTTACACTTTGATTTCAAGCTGGTCAATGTACTCTCTTAACCATACAGTGCACTACTTCACAGGGGTTCACTCCAGCTAATCCACCCCCGATCCCAGCATACAGTGGCTCATTTAAACACTCCCCACTTCCACAACCTGGAAAAGCTGATTTAGTAGTTCTTTAATTTTAATTTTAATCTGGAGCACACAGATCCGCCGAGGCAACTCGAAATTGTTACCCACACCACAAGAGAGAAAAAGTTGAGGAAAAAGCCCGAGGGGCGCCTGAGTGGCTCAGGCGGTTGGGCATCCAACTTCTGCTTGGGTCATGATCTCACGGTTCGTGGGTTCGAGCCCTGTGTCAGGCTCTGTGCTGACAGCTCAGAGCCTGGAGCCTGCTTCAGATTCTGTGTCTCCCTCTCTCTCTGACCCTCCCCTCCTCACGCTGTCTCTCTGTCTCTCTGTCTCTCTCTCTCTCTCTCAGAAATAAATGAAACATTAAAAAATAAAAACAAAAACAAAAGAAAACCCGAGTCCTCTCCGGTGAGTGTTGCTCAATACTGCTACGAGGCTGGGAGCTTGAGCAGAAAAGGGTCACCCCTAAGAAAGTAAGAAGAGGCGATGGGGCAAGCGCCTCGGATCTGAAGGAACATAATGTAGAGTCCACGGAATGGAGCTGTCAGAAGGAAAGCCTTTTCGGCTTCTGGGGAACCAATCTGAAGACAGAGGGAAGGAACTGGGCTCCGTGGCCGCGGCTGCAGGGAGGACCGATACCTTAAGAATCCCTCTCATCTTAGCCAGAAAGGGGCGGAACTCCTCCAGTGACACCTCCGGATACAGCTGGCTCCGCAGCAGCTCTTCTGTGATGCCTTGATGCCCGTGGAAAGCTTCTTGGGCCAGGCCGCTCAGCAGCCCGCTCAGAGGTTTGGAACCCTCAAGCTCGCCCGCCATGGTCAGCTGTGGCCCCGCCCCTCAACAGCTGAGCGCGGCCTCGCTACGGCACCCGGGATGGGCCTAAATGGCCCGGGCAAAAGCGCGCGGGACAAATTACGGCGAAATTCCACCGACGGTGCTTATTGGTAGCTTACCAGATCTGCTCTGCAAAAACCCCTCGCCTTGGACTGCCACCATGGAGCTATCCATTCAGTTCCAGAAGAATCACTTTACTTCCCCTGATTCCCTTCAGTACTCCAAGGCCTACTGAAAGGAAGGATCACTTGGTAAAGATCACCTGAGAAGGGGAACTATTCTATGAACGAGAGTGGTAGTTTAACTTTCGATCGGCTGCATCTCACCCAGGCCTTGCCAATCCACTATCTGAATAGGCTCTATCACTCAGATGTAATCTCTGCCTGATCACTACCTGTCCACCTTTTGTCCAAGAAAAGTTAACTAACGGCTAATAACATGATGTGTTTTCTAGGATTGTTACTTGCCTTTATACATACATATGTGTGTGTCTTGCCTTTCCAGCTAGATTAGCGGCTCTGATCCAATGTTCCTTTTTATAACAAATATTCTGAATGAGCCCTCAAATGAAATGCATAGATTATCTAACGTTCTACCCATATCATTTCAAAAAACTTACATATTATTCACCTATGAAAAGGAATGAGGTACTGATACATGCTACAACGTGCATGAATCTTAAAAATATGTTAAGTAAGGGGTGCCTGGGTGATTCAGTCAGTTGAACACCCCGAACCCTTGATTTCAGCTCAGGTCATGATCTCAGGTTCGTTGCACTGAGCCCCAGGTCTGATGTCATGCTGAGCATGGAACCTGCTTAAGATTCTCTCTCTCTCTCTCTCTCTCTCTCTCTCTCTTTCTCTCTCTCTCTCTATCCCCCTCACTCCCTCCCTCCCTCTCTGCCCCTCTCCCCTGTTTGTTCTCTCTTGCTCTCTAAAATTAATTAATTAATTAATTTTTTAAAAAGATTGCCTAAGGCAAGGCCACAGCAAAAGAAAACACCCTAAAGCCCTGGCTCAAATGGAAAATACAAACACCTACAACAGCCTTCCCAGAAAACGGGTTTCCTTTTCCTTATGACCAAACAGATTTTCATTCTAACTTCCACTAAGCAACTGGTCACTTCTCTTACACTACTCCTTTTATGGCTCACAGGCTATTTGATCTCAGGCCAGAAATAGGTGTTTTTGTAAGGTTTTCCATCTCTGAAAATATTAAAATAAGAAATGTGGACTGAAATAATGGGGAACATAAGGGCCCCAAAGTTTTGCAATAAACTCTTCCTGTTCTCTGTCTCTCCTCCACCTTTTCAAATTCTCCTTTAATTACCATTCACTCTCCAATCAGCCAGCCACTCAGCAGCTAATAGCAGAGAGCTCTTTGTGTCATTCTGCTAACTGTTAGGGGATACAAAAATGAATAAAACAATCTCTGTCCTAAAATCTTACATTCTGGTAAGGGAAGATTATATACAAATGAAGGAGAGCAGAATATGCCACTCTAAAATAGGCCATTTTGGCATAAGGATTATTTTGAGCTAAAGGCAATGGAAAAAAAAAAAAACATAGAAGAAAAGCTTCTGGCCCTATTTGCCTGAAAGCAGAATGTAAATTTCAACGCTGTCCTTCCTCTGTCTACCAGGAAGGACAAAAGTTAATCACAGGAGACAACTGTAGACCCTTACTAATGAAGAAGGCATGGAATTAAAACTGGGTAACAAAGCTGATTCTTCTCTGCTGTGCTTTCGTGAACATCTCCCCATAACTGGCCTTCCTTACACCTCTCTCTTTTGTCTTTAGCTGAAGATGGTATATAAATCAGAGTTCTAAGCCATTGCTTTGAGGTACTCATTTTTCCCTGGGTATCTCACATGTATACATTAGGGATACATGTTAATAAACTTGTTTTGTTTTTCTCATTAATCTGGCTTTTGTTTTAGGAGTCCCAGCTAAGAACTTATAAGAATAAAGGGAAAATTATATTTTGCTCCTCTACTTAAACAAATGAATAAAATACATTGAACTAAGGATTGCTACTACTCAGTACCTAGAAGTAACTATTGGATTTGGTAGTAGAAAGAAGAAAATTGATTAACTCAGCTTGTATGGATCAAGGAATGGCTTAATGGTGAATAATGTTAAAGGAGCTAATAGGACATGATACCTGTTGACCAATGAGCTGGACCTGAGCAATCGGAGGCTCCTCACCCATTCTCCTGTCCTTGGAATGTTTGTTCTGGCCAGTTCCCACAGTGGGAGCTATTCCAAGGACATAGTCTATAGAGAGTAAGGTATTGTTCAGACCATCTGAATGTTATACGTGACTGATCCCAGTTAAGGCCTTTATATGAACTTTAAGATTATACATGCAGAGATCTACTCATCTTGCAGCCACCCAAGACAGGCCTCATATGTAAGTTCCCTTTATTATTAAAAAAGCCACCTACCAATTTTGAGTGGTCAGCCTCTTTATTCAGTCTTTCCTGCCTTCCATGTATGGGGGCCGGTTTCAGATTTCACCCAAGAAGTTCCCAAGGTTGCAAGCCAACAAAAAGCCAGACATGTTGCAGGGGAAATAGCATGTTCCTATTATGAACCCCACAGTGCAACAGTAGAGTTCAGGACATTCTACCACAAAATATGGAAACCTGGCATATTGAATATTTGAGGAAACACGAGAAACAAAACTTGGAAATTAAGGACTCCCTAATTTCCCCTTCTCTTGTTAAGCAGGTCAGAACTCTCATGTGAGAGTTGCCCTCTCTGTACCCAGGGCATTATTATCTCCAAAGATTGAGGGATTCCAAAGGGAATCTGAACAAACAGGTTTGCTAAGCTTTCCCAGTTTACAACCCTTAGTTCATTTGTCTTCTCACATTTTTTCCCACAATGTTCCACTCTTCATCAAATCTAGCATAAAAATACTCAGGTTTAACCACTTCTTCAGGTCTTCATTTCCCTATCAAGTCTCCATGTCACATGAAACTTAGATTAAATAAATATGTATGCTTTCTCTTGTTAATCTGTCATTTGTTACAGAGCCCCAGCCAAGGAGCTATAAGGGCAGAAGGAAAAAGATATTTTCCCTCTCCTAGAGTGGCAAAAGTAGAACGAGGAAACTACAGTAATAAATATGGAAAGATAAACAGAACCTGTGTCATAGAGATGGAGAGGTTAGAGGCACCTGGGTGGCTCAGTCGGTTAAGCGTACAATTTGGGCTCAGGTCATAATCTCATGGTTCGTGGCTTCAAGCCTGGCGTCGGGCTCTGTGCTGACTTCCAGCTCAGTGCCTGGAGCCTGTTTCAGATTCTGTATCTCCCTCTCTCTGACCCTACTCTGCTCATGCTGTCTCTCTCTCAGAAATAAATAAAACATTAAAAAATAAAATTTTAAAAAAGAGATGGAGAATTTACACATAATGCTGACTTTTATACTTGGTCATTGAGAAGTAACTGAACAGTTGTAAGCAAGAGAGTAATAGCAAGATCAGATTTGCAGCGTTTTTGGTTTTTTTTATGTTTATTTATTTATCTTTGAGAGAGAAAGAGAGACAGAATAGCAAGCAGGCTCCATGCTGTCAGCACAGACCCCAACACAGGTTCGAACTCACAAATCATGGGATCATGACCTGAGTCATGAGTCAGACACTCAACTAACTGAGCCACCCAGGCACCTCCAGATTTGCATTTTTAAAAGATTCCTCCATGTGGCAGTGTGGCAAATGAATTGAAGGAGCAGGGAAGGCCAAGGCTACACCATCATAGTAAGCAAACATATCCTGAGCTAAGGCAGTGACACTTGGGATGGAGAAAATAAGATTCTTGATTCAAAGGAGGTAGAATTCATAGGCTTTGGATGAGGGAAGAGAGGAAAAAAATGAAAGGAATGATTCCCAGTTTCTGATTTAGGTGACTGAGTAGTAGATGATGGTCTGAAGCATACAAGAGCTCAATTTATTCATGTGTTAATCCTCCACATATCTTGTGTATCCTTGTATCCTTCAATGAGCTTTATGAATCAAGTGGCACCTGGGTGGTTCAGTCAGCTGAGGGTCTAATTCTTGATATTATTCAGGTCATGATCCCAGAGTCATGGGATCCATGCTAAACATGGAACCTGCTTAAGATCCTCTCTCTCTCTCTCCTCTGCCCCTATCCCCTACTCACCTTCTCTTTCTCTCAAATAAATACATAATACATACATACAGTTTTGGGGCACCTGGGTGTCTGAGTCCATTGAGCATCCAACTCTTGGTTTTGGCTCAGGTCATGATCCCAAGGTGGTGGGGCCAGGCTCCACACTGAGCATGGAGCCTGCTTGAGATTCTTTCTCTCTCCTTCTGCCCCTCTCCCCTGCTCATGCTGTCTCTCTCTCTCCAATAAAAAAAATAAAATATTTTAAATGATTTTATGAATGAAAATAACTATCATAGCAAGCATTTGAAATGAGACTGCCACAGAATAAACACTTATTCTGCATTTTTAAGTATTTTAATTCAGGGGTGCCTGGGTGGCTCAGTCAGTTAAGTGCCTGACTCTTGATTTTGGCTCAGGTCATGATCTCACAGTTTGCAAGTTTGGGCCCCACATCGGGCTCTGAACTGACAACATGGAGCTTGTTTGGGATTCTCATTCTCCCTCTCTGTCTCTCTCTCAAGATAAATAAACTTAAAAATAAATACAAGAAGCTCTTTTCAAAATAAGTAAACAATATTTAATTTAATTTAATTTAATTTTATATTTCTATTTATTTCTAGGAGAGAGAGAGAGAGAGACAGCGTGAGCAGGGGAAGGTCAGAGAAAGAGGGAGATACAGACTCTGAAATAGGCTCCAGGCTCTGAGCTGGCTGTCAGCACAGAGCCCGACGCGGGGCTCGAACCCACGAACCGCGAGATCATGACCTAAGCGAAAGTCGGACGCTTAACCGACTAAGCCACCCAGGCGCCCCAAGTAAACAATATTTTAATTCAAATTCAGAATCAAAGATTTGGGAAATGGGATGGACTTTGGAAAGATGGAAACTATCCGGAGAAATCTAGTTCTATTTTCTGAGTATCAAAGCACTTTTTTTGAAGTTTTGAAGCACAAAAAATAGCATAATGAGCTTCCATGTCCTTATCAGCAGCTTCAACAAATACCAACACCCATTGCCTATCTTGTTCCAACTCTATTCTCATTCACTTCCTCCTAACTATTTTGAAAAGTCTCAGATGTAACTATTGGTAAATATTTCAGTATGCTTCTCTAAAAGAAACACTTAAAAAAATCCCAATAACTATTCTACATAAGAGTACAACTTTAATAGTTATTAAATATAAATCCATAGTCAGACTTTTGTCTCACAAACTTCCTATTTTTTAACCGAGTATTTAAGTACTTGACTAATCAGTAAGGAAGAATTAGTTTTCTTCTCACTTGCATCAATTTTTTACTGAGACCACAATTAAGCCCTATTTTACTAAGCCATATTGCTTATATCATACTTTTTTAACTTTTTAAATTTATTTATTTATTTATTTAAGCATTCATTGTACCCAACATGCAGCTCAAACTCAGAATCCCCAGATCAAATGTCACACGCTCCCCTGACTGAGCCATCCTGGTGCCCCATTCTTTATTTATCTGAAGTCTCTTTTAATCTATACATTCCCCTTCCATCTTAATGGGTTTTTTTTTCCTTGTAATTTCTTTGCAGGTCATTTTTCCTAAAAAGTTTCCTACATTCTATATTTTATTGATTGTATCCTCATGGTATCATTTTTAAAAACTATATTCTAGGGTGCCTGGGTGGCTCAGTTGGGTGAGCTACCAACTCTTGATTTCATCTCAGGTCATGATCTCACAGTTCATGAGATAAAGCCCTGTATTGGGCTCTGTGCTGACAGCGAGGAGCCTCTTGGGATTCTCTCTCTCTCCCTCTCTCTCTCTGCCCCACTCGTGCTCTTTCTCTCTCAAAATAAATAAATAAACTTAAAAATAAATACAAACTATATTCTATCCTTGTATGTTCTATTAATCTGTAAATTAGAAATTAGATCTAGGGAGATGCCTGGGTGGCTCGGTCAGTTAAATGTCTGACTCTGGATTTTGGCTCAGGTCATGATCTCACAGTTCATGGGTTCAAGTCTCGAATCAGGCTTACTGCTATCAGCACAGATCAGGCTTCAAATCCTCTGTCCCCCTATGTCTCTGCCCCTCCCCATCTTGTTCTCTCTCTTTCTCTCAAAAATAAATAAAATATAAAAAACTTGTAAATATTTTTAAGGAAAGAAATTAGATTTAGGAACTTGATTAAATTCAGGTTCAAATTTTTTTTCCCATTGGGAAGTACCTTTTTGTGTACTTCCCACGTCTTGACCCTCAAAACAATAATCATTTATTTTTCCCATAAATTTGCAGTATTTATAACTCTTGATTATACCACAATAGTTAAACATTAGTTCACTCCTATTTTTAAATAGAAAATCTGGTTTACTTACAACAGGTCATGAAGCTTCTAAGTTTGGCAGCACCCCCTTTTTGTTTTTCCTCTTGCCATTTTCAGACAGAAATTTTTTTCGCTGGGAAGCTTACAAAGTGATAAAAATGTGAACTATAAATCCTTCAGGGAAAAATCAGCAAAATCAAAGTATATTTAAGGAAAACAGGCCCCTGCTTTACCTTAATCTTGTAAGGTAAACAAAGAAACAAAGTATGATGCAAGCAATATGGCTGAGGAAACCAGGGCTTAATGGTGGTCTCAACAGTAATGCAAGGGAGAAGAAAAATAGATAATAAATAATAACTGTTGTTTTCACACTAAAGTTTTTACCATTGTCTTTGGTGTGAAAAGAGAGGATACATACATATCTCTCCTTCATTTTCCAACCCCTACCAGTGTCTAGCTCAGTCTTTGTTACTAGGGGCTTAGCAAGTGGTTCAGTATCCATCCTTAGCAAAGATAACCCTCATCTGGATGGTTGGCCAAGTATTACTGTTTTATAAAAAACTACTGCACAAATCATTAAAGAAACTCCATAAGGCTATTACTATTGCCAGCATTCTCATGCCTTGTGTCTGCTTGGATCTGATAGGATTTTTTCGATATTTCCATCCTTCACTAGCAACAGTGCTTTGCATAGCATACGAAAGTTTGCACATTTTAATACTTACTGCAATCCAACTCTAATGAGGAATTAATGTGTATCCACACTTTTAAGAAATCAAATTTTCAGCCTTTATTTATTGCATAAGTCCAGGGAGGGGGGGTAGGTAAATAGTTCCAATTTGTTACAGAAAAAGAAAAAAATATATTTATAACTTGAAACCTTCAGGATAATCAAAGCAATTGTCTTACCCATGGAAACTGTCCCAAAATGGGACAGCTACTAATGGCACCTTCCAAATTCTGCTCTGTCCTTTACAGCAATAGGTCTATTCTTTACACTAATGAAACTAGTAGAGTTTAAGCCTTTAGAGATCATGCAATTCAATCCTATTACATAGCTGATGAAAATGAGACCCAGAAAACATAAATGACTTGCCTAAGATCACATAACCAGTTAACAGAAGAGTAGAACTCGAAGCCAGGATTTTTGGATCCCCAAATTAATACTATTTCCATCATCATACGCTTGTTTCCATCATCCCACATCAATTGTCTCAACAAGTAATCATAGGATGTTCATGGCTGCATGGAACAAGTCTGGACTTTTTTTTTTTTAGTTTATTTTGAGAGAGAGAGAGAGAGATATAGCATGAGTGGGGGAAGGGCAGAGAGAGAGGGAGAGACAGAGAGAATCCCAAGCCGACTCCACACTGTCAGCACAGAGCTGGACACCATGTGGGGCCTGAACACACCAACCATGAGATCGTGACCAGAGGTAAAATCAAGTGCAGGAGACTTACCCTACTGAGCTACCCGGGTGTCCTGAAGTCTGGTCCTTTTGAAAGAGAAGTCAGTGTCAAAAGCATACAGCTCAGAGAGTATCCAGAAAGATTTATCTTCTAGTGCTCATTTCCTGAATGAGGGTGATCAGAGAATTAAGTACTTACCCTAGAACCTATCCCAAGCAACCACCACTTTATGAGTTCTTAATAATTATCTGTGAATAAACATTGAATGAATTTCACCTACATGAACTTCCATAATAAAATACAGTGATCATAGAAGCCCAACAGTTTAGCTCATGACCCAGGGAAGTCAGTTGCTCTGTATGGGAATACAGTTTCAATCTATTTACAGGTATCCCTTGAGCGTCCGTTGTGTTTAGGCTCCATTAAAAATTAAGAAAAAAAGAGGATAATGGCCGTCACTTCTTACAGTTATTGTATTGTGAAGGTTAAATGAGATAAAACGTGGAAAAGGTTTGGCAATGCACCTAGCACATAACTGAACTAAATGATCGTAATTAAAATGCTTAGGCTCCCTGAGTGGCATGTTACATATCAGAACACGTGTTAAGTACACCACGAGAAGGTTGTATTAGATAAGGATTGCTGGTTTGGCAGGCAATCTAGCTTCCAAACGTGTAAGATTTCCTGAGATACAGGGAGGGTACACTTAATCTCTAACTACCACTCAATATCAACAGGAGACAACACTTCAAGCATGTGAAACAGATACCCATTCCAAATCTCTCTTCCGACTCTATTTCAAAATAAACAAAACCAAATAGTCATTTATTTCAAAATGAATAACATACAAGACTAAGCGGGCCCGGCAAAAAACGGCTCAGCCCCGCCCGCTCCGGAGTAACCCGGGAGACCACGACACCTCCCAGACGCTTCCAGTTTGAATTAACGGAAGGGACCTTACGGGCGAGCCCAGAGCAGCGGGCGACGGGGGTGCCCAACACCCGCCTTTAAAATCACGGGTTGGCCGCCCGGCCTCGCAAGAGTCCTCGCCCACCGCGCCTCCACCCCCAGGGTCCGAGGCCAATACTCCTTGTAAATCCTGATTTCTCCGCCACAGCTACCTCAACAGGCGAGCGGCGGACAGCCTGCTACGTCACGTCGGCGCCGCGCCACCTGGCAGGCCCCCGTCTCCGGCTCCTCCTCCTCCCGGCGCCCGCGCCGCTTTCTGGAAGGTTCGTGAAGGCGGTGGGCGCGTTCCGTTACCCCGCGGGCGGCCGGCCGGAATCCGGGTCCATCCGTCCTCCCCAAGCGCCCGCAGGCCCAGCCAAGTTTGCCATGCCGGAGAACGTGGCTCCCCGGAGCGGGGCGCCCGCCGGGACTGCCGGCGGCCGCAACAAAAGCGCCTATCAGGATCGTGACAAGCCGGCCCAGATTCGCTTCAGCAACATCTCCGCGGCCAAAGGTATCATTCGCTGGGTCTGACCTGCGGCCGTGTGGGTCGAGTTCTGCACTCTCATTCTGATCTTGGGTTGCTGAGGCTCATTTTCTGTTCCTTGAGATCTTGTCTGTCCAGTGAAAGAGGGAAAGATCCCTTTGTGCAGGGATCTGTGCTGTTTTCTGCCGGTAATTCCCAGAGCCTAGTATGGGGACCATTGGACTGGCCCCATTCTGGGTCTTACACGCGAAATTTTTCGTCCTCGGTCGCTCATCACACTTGAGTAGGAGGCGGCTGAGGCCCCCCCCCCCCCAACACTGCAGGCCCTTGGGATCTGACACCATAGCCCCGTCGCTTATCTGCTGATTGGTTCCAATGGTAGAATGTTGTTTGCACAATGCATTTGTTTTCTCTTCCTTGTAAGGTACCACTTAAGTCCGCTTTTGGCGCAGCCGATGAACTTACCGCTTACGTTGGGGCGGGGCCCTTTGTATTGGGCTGTGGGGAAGACGTTCCCGTCCTGTTTGGGAACTTGGAAAACTGGGCTGTGCTATTACGTTCTCTCCGCATGTGCAACCAAAGAAACACGTCTAGAAATGTGGACAGTATGTTTTCGTTTTGTAGAATATTTTGGTGGATGGTAGAAAGGAAGACCCGAGTTACTATTCTCTCCGTGGCTTTGTGAGGTTGGACCTTTAGCCAGGGTTTCCTCACCCATAAATTAAGGAAAATGTTCGCTCCTCTTTAGAGTTGTGAGAATTAAGAGTAGTCGAGTTGAATAAAAGAGTCTAGAAGGAAAAATGAGAACGAAGGCTTAGAGATCTTACCTAATGTGTGTTGAGTATTGAAATACAGTGAGTATCCATCACAGAATAAAGTGCATGAAGACGTCAGAGGTGAGTTTGGAAGAGTAGAATGGGGCCAGTCTTGAAGAGCCTAGTGAGCAGAGGCCACATGAATTATATCAGTGAACTTGACCTTTTTAAATGAAGAGAACTCAGAGACCACTGGTTTTTCCAAATCAGACAGAACCCAACACACTTGATCGAAGAAATCAAGCAGAAACACTGCTTAAGTTTAGGTGCATTTTTTGTTTAATTCAGGGAGCCAAGTTTTATTTAGATGTTATCTAATACACGTGCCCCCCCCACCAAATTGGTTGATAATATGGGGAAAAGTTTAGTAGTATTCAGCGTGAGTCATTTAACAGATAGTACTGTGTGCCACACAGTATATTAAACATTAGACAGTTTTAGAGAGGTAAACAGTCTAAAATCTTTTTTTTTTTTTTATAGTGTGTATTTTCTAACTTCTTGTAGGTGAATGTCTGAGTTTGGAGTTTGTTTTCTTTCAGTAAAATCAACCCCCAACATGGGGCTTGAACTCACCACTACTCTAAGAGTCATATATTCTACCCACTGAGCCAGCCAGGCGGCCCCCCGCCATGTGAGGGCATTCTTAAAGAGAATTGGTCTGCTTGTAGAATTATGGCCATACATAGTGTATGTAGTGAGTACACTACAGTGGCCTGAAAGTGTTACATTGATTTTAAATTGTAGCAAATAATTTCTCTAAAGGTCTTTATTATTCACACAGTAGAGGGGGAAGTATTAATGCTGGTTGTGGAGTATACAATGATTAGGGCACAGTCTCAGCCTTGTGTATATGGGGTGAGGTGGTGTGTGAGGAAGGGGAGGGTCTAATTATTTGTCTTGAGCTTGTCAAAGAAAAGGGGATTTGACTTGACTGTTCATCACATCTAATTTTTCTTAGAAAATAGTAAATGGATTATTAAAATGAAAACATTCTTAGGGACAAATAGTAAGCAGCTTTGAAATGGTAGACTGTATATCCAGATATTTCGTAATGTATGATGTTGACAGAAAGCTAGGGTTTTAGTTTTGGGTTTTTGTTTGGGTTAACATTTGGGCTTTTTGTTTGTTTTGGTTTATTTGGTGGCAGGGGTGAAAAGTGTCTAAAGGGTATTTTACTGTGGGCTATATATATAGTAGCTTCATATTAGTAGACAAAACTCTTTACCCTCAGAAGTTACTCTCTACAGTTAGAGACAGAATAGACAAGTGGAATTATATAGCATATTAGGAAATTTAAAGGACTGGAGAAAATAGTCTTCAGACTACATTGTACTTATTTTGATATTTAGAGGAAGGTCAGGTAAATCCTCAATTTGTTCTGTCACAGGTAGGGCATAAATATTATTTACAGTGATTTTATCAACAAAAGGTGAAATGTCATACAATTAAAGGAATTATTGTTTCCAGTAGATTATTATTAAACAATGAATTTTGTTCAGTGAACACAGTCTAAACAGTCGTATACCATATCCTAATAAGGACAAAATGATCATTTGAAAGGATGAATATTTTGCTTTTTTTTTTTTAAGAGTCTTGATTTCTTCTGTTTACAGCTGTTGCTGATGCTATTAGAACAAGCCTTGGACCAAAAGGAATGGATAAAATGGTAAAAACCTGACTTTCTTGATACATATTGAGTGCTACTGTCCACACAGCATAATCTCAATAGAGGGTTAGGATGTGCTGCTTAAAAAATAAAAGTATTAAAAAGGTATTTTTGGAAGGTTAGAATAATAGTAGATTGCTTTGGAGTGAGAAGGACTTAACTATAATTCGTATCTTGTTTGACGCTTTTAACATGGAAAGTATGTCTGCCAGAGTAGTTGTCTGTTGTTTTGGAAACATGGAAAGTGTAGTAAAGCTATAGCTATGAGCACTTGAGTTCAGTGTTTCTTATTGATAAGTAACTGCGACTTTCTGTGGATTTGTAGAACTTCACTTCTTCTTTGACCTTGGTTGACTGCTGGCATAAAACATTTCAGTGGATTTCAGTAACTTTTGAGAAATACACCCTCAAATTCAGTGATTAAAATCCAGAATGAGAGTTAAGGAACAATATGAAGGATTGTCTTGATGATACAGGGTCATTATTCCCTCTCAATATTTTAAAATCTGTCCCTGCTAGTAGTGCTGTGCCCTTTGTTGAGAATATGAAGAAAGAAGTTACTGTGTCAACTGTGAGAAGGGTGTTCATTATGTTCATGATGCTCTGTTTTTTGGAGATCCATGGTATCATTTCTGACTATGAATGAATATGAACCCAGGAACAATAGTAATTATATCTAGTGTCTACATTCCTTCGCTTCAAACAAATAAAAAATAGAGTAAAGCCAAGTATTGCACTTGTGAAGTTAAGCTCTTGCCGTATGTTAAGTCATTATACTAACATAAGGGAAGAAAATTTGAAATTAAGCTCCGTTGTAAGCTATGCAAACATAAATTAACTTTTCTACTAAGAAGTTTTAAAGTTAGTAGAGCTTTTAGGGTGTTATAGTACTGGGTAAAGAAAACAATTTTTAAAATACAGCATTTTCAACAATCAAAACTTCCAGATTCAAGATGGAAAAGGCGATGTGACCATTACAAATGATGGTGCCACGATTCTGAAACAAATGCAAGTGTTACATCCAGCAGCCAGAATGGTAAGTATAATTTTAGATGAGGTGGGTTTTTTAAGTGTATTGTCTGATATTTGTAAACAGTTAAGATTGTTTACATTGTATTATTTAAGCATTGTGAATTTATTTTCTTTACGTTACCATGTTTTTAGGATGCATTGTGTGCCCAACATTGTGCTCTTCAGTGCAAGGTTGTAATTCCTTGTCCACAGGAGTGTGTCAGGTAGTTGAGGAAAAAGGAGATAAAAACATGAAATGATAGTATGCAGTAGACTGGTATATATGACCAGTCCTGTTTATTTCGCAAAAATTCTCTACGTATGTTTGATACTCTCTGCAAATATCCTGAGAATTTAGACATCCTAAAAATGTATTTATACAAGATTTTATGTGTTAAGCTAAGTGGAATAACACAACATAATGAAAACTTAGGTACCGAGAAAAGGAATTTGTGGAAGAGATTTCTTGTGTTCATTTTACTCTCTTTAACCTAAGCAATACGGATGTGTGAGTGTCTGAGATTTACAGTACCAAAAATGTCCTCCCTGTTTCCTCCAGCAGAGTAAACTTTTTAAAACGCTAGAGTTTTTAATTTTAATAGTTGATAACTTAGGAAGGTTTTGAGTATTTCATTGCTTTTTTTTTTTTTTTTTTGGTCAACACAGAGGTGTAATTGAGTACTTCTTTGGGTTAATTTGCCAGTCCCCTCTGTTTGAAATGAAGTGACTAGAATTTTTGTGTGCTATTCAGTTAAAGGGAAAAAAATGATATGAATTATTAGCTCAGTGGGTGTTAGTTGGAAGAGAGCAACATAATCTTAATTGTGTGTAAAATAAATCACGTGTCTAAACTTAAACTGTTCATTAAAAATAATTACCAGTTCAGCTAAATGTGATGATGATTCCAGTGTCAAGTGAGAAGTCGCCATATCTCCATAGAAAAGAAATTTCTATCAGGAAGTATGTTTTATTATGTAAAGTTGACTTTTGGAGCAACTCAAGTTATACTTACACATCAATTCAGATAAGCTCCCAGAGGACTCCAAACTGACACTTGAGTCATCTAGAATACCGCGTTTTTTAGCTTCTAAGTCTACAACATTATGCTTTCTGACAGGAACATTTTTAATAGCTCAGAAGAAAAAATTTACAGCCTGAACTAGAAATCATAATGTAATTTCTTACAGAGAGTAGATAAGCGGAATTTTTTGTGTCACAAATATATCAGTCGTTTTAAAATGAAACCTAAGAAGTCAAGAATTTAATAAAATTTACAGTGTTGATGGGAGTAAAATTGTTTTGTGACACTGATAGGAAGGCTATTCATTTTCTATTTCAATTAGATGTTACTGGGTCCTCACATTTCTCATTGAGCAACTTATTAGCACATTCTGTTTACTTAGCTGGTGGAGCTGTCCAAAGCACAAGATATAGAAGCAGGAGATGGCACCACATCAGTGGTCATCATTGCTGGCTCTCTTTTAGATTCCTGTACCAAGCTTCTTCAGAAAGGTGGGTAGGACATTGGATGTGTTTTTACTAAATAAAGGTCAAAAGTTGTTAAGTAATAGATTTGATGATTTGGAATAACAGATCTTTTAATTAGGAATTTTTAGTTTAATTTTTGCTGTGTTTATCATATGAATAAAAAAATTTTTTTCTTGTACTTTTTTCTTTTTTTAAACCAAGCTTCATTTTGAATGGAACTTGTTTGAATTTTCCTTTTCTAAAATAAGTTGTACAAATCAGGAGACTGTAGATGCTGGCGAGGATGTGGAGAAATGGGCACCCTCCTACGCTGTTGGTGGGAATGTAAACTGGTGCAGCCCCGCTGGAAAACAGTGTGGAGATTCCTCAAAAAATTAACAGTAGAACTCCCCTAGGATCCCAGCAATAGCACTGCTGGGAATTTACCCAAGGGATACAGGAATGCTGATGCATAGGGGCCCCCAATGCATCATAGCAGCACTCTCAACAATAGCCAAAGTATGGAAAAAGCCCACAAATGGATCAAGAAGGTGTGGTTTATCTATACAATGGAATAGTACATGGCAATGAGAAAGAATGTAATCTAGCCATGTGTAGCAACATGGATGGAATTTGAGGGTGTTACTCTCAGCAAAATAAGTCAGGCAGAGAAGGACAGATACCATATACTTTGACTTATAAGTGGAACAGGGGAAACTTAACAGAGGACCATGGGGGAGAAGAAGGGGAAAAAATCGTTGGGGAGAGGGAGGGAGGCAAACCATTAGAGACTCTTGAATACTGAGGGCTGATGGGAGTGAGGGAGAGGGGAAGGGGGGTGATGGGCATGGAGGAGGGAACTTGCTGCGATGAGCACTGGTTGTTATATGGAAACCAAGTTGACGATAAATTAAAAAATGATAATAAAATAAGTTGTAATGACATTACTTATCTTAGGCTCTAAATGAGAATGGTGATTTGGGAGAGAGAGTTCTACTGGTAAATACTGCTTAATCATAGTAGTGACTCTCCAGTCACTGATTCTGCTTCTAACCTAGATTGGTGATGTTTTGAAAAGTATAAAATTTGGCTTTGGTCTTAAATATCATAAGTGCAACATTCTATTCCAAATTAAATGGAAGTTAATTATTAGCCATAATACCAGCTAAGGTTGTTCAGACCATTTTATTTATAATTGAAGCCTCAGTTTAGATAATTTAAAAAGTATGTCTGCTTTAGGGCACTGGATGGCTCTGTTCGTTAAGTATCCAACTCTTGATTTCAACTCAGGTCATGATTTCATGGTTTGTGAGATCAAGCCTTACATTGGGCTCTGCGAACAGCATGGAGCCTGCTTGGGATTCTCTCTCCTCTCTTGCTGCCCTTCCCCTGCTTACACATGTTCTTCTGCTCTCTCTTTATCTCTCGCTAACTCTTTTTCAAACTAAACTTTCAAAAAAATTTTTAAATTATGACTGCTTTGAAATTATAACGAATGGAAAGTTTCTATTTATAATATATGTCAGGTGTACTTTATATGTTAACGAAATTTTAACAAACAGGGATTCATCCAACCATCATTTCTGAGTCATTCCAGAAGGCTTTGGAAAAGGGTATTGAAATCTTGACTGACATGTCTCGACCTGTGGAATTGAGTGACAGAGAAACTTTATTAAATAGTGCTACCACTTCATTGAACTCAAAGGTGAGACCAGTACTAAGGAACCATTGTAAAATTATATTTTAAAGCTTATTAAGAATTGCAACTCCTACGTCGTGATTTTTGGTGTTAAACAGTTCATTAATGTTATATCTGGAGTGTATAGGTAACTGAAATAATTTGTACAACTAGATTAGTTAAAGTCAAATTTCCTTCTTCAAGTCTTTTAAATACATTATGTCCCCATTTTACATATGGGAAAATAGATGTAGTGAAGTTAACTAATCCAAGACCTATCAATAAGGGGTAAGTTGAGGGGCACTTAAATGGCTCAATCAGTTAAGTGTCCGACTTCAGCTTGGGTCACGATCTCATGGTGGTTGAGTTTGAGCCTCAAATCAGTCTCTCTTCTGTCAGCACAGAGCCTCTGATTGGCCCTCTGTCCCCCTCTCTCTGCCCCTCCGCCACTCGTGCTCTCTCATAAATAAGTAAAAAATAAGGGTTAAGTTGAAATTGGAAACCGGGACAGGTTTGCCCATCCATAGTCCCTCTTAACTAATAATCAATGCTGCTTTTCTTAATTTTAAAGTTTGAAGACTGATTTTTTTTTTTTAAGAATTTCTTGTACATTCAAGGTTAACTGTTTTCTGTCACATTCTCTTCACTCCTGCCACATTTTCCCCATTTTTTTCATCATTGTATCAATACATTCCATTTATTTAAATGGGAGCTAGATAGTGTTAGTCACATACGTGATACTGTTGAATGTCCACAGTTGTGACATAGAATAGCATGATTATAAGCATTGGTCCTAAAGTCTAGACTGATTGGGTTTAGCACTGGGTTCGTCACTGGACTAAGCTATGTGACTCTTTGAATTTCTTCATCTGAAGATTGAATGAGTATATAAATGTTATGGGCTAAGGTCATTTTAGATCATCATCTACATAAAGTTAATTTGGCTTCTGGATTTCCTATAGAATTATTAGTAATCTACACAATGCATTTACTAAATTAATAAAACAGGAAAGCAAGCATACATATTTTTGTGCCTTTGGTGACTGAAAACATGAGTGGACAAGACAGTTCATATGGAATGTTGTCTATGTTCCTTCCCTCTCTTCCTCTGCAACCCAAGAAAAGTGGTTAAGATTACTTCTTGAAAATCTTTGTCATTAAAGAACTAGGATTTTTTTTCTGTTGTGAAGCTGACTTTATTATTTTTTAATTCTAGGTTGTCTCTCAGTATTCAAGTCTGCTTTCTCCAATGAGCGTAAATGCAGTGATGAAAGTGATTGACCCAGCCACCGCTACTAGTGTAGATCTGAGAGACATTAAAATAGTTAAGAAACTTGGGTAAGCAAATCTGATTTTAACTTTAGTAAAAATTAAGGGGTCCCTGAGTGGCTCAGTCTGTTAAGCATTTGTCTCTTGATAACTGGCTCAGGTTATGATCTCATGGTTCATGCGTTTGAGCCCCATGTTAAGGACGTCAGCACAGAGCCTGGTTGGGATTCTCCTGTCTCCTCTCTCTGTTTCTCCATCACTTGCTTTCAAAAATGAACTTTTTAAAGAAAAATTAATTTTAAGAAAGTTTATTAATGTGGAATCTGGAGAGTTTATCAGGGCAAAGCAGTAGTGTGATCAAAGTTAAGTAATGGGGCACTAAAAAGTGTGACTCCCATTTTATTTGATGATTTTTGATCTATTAGTGATCTATTTTTTAATCGTTATTTCTCTCAGATTTTGTTTGGCTTACTGTATTTTTTTCTTTATTTATTTTGAGAGAGGAAACGGGGGGAAGAGGCAGAGAGAATCATAAGCAAGCTCCATATTCAGCATGGAACCTGACATGGGCCCTCAGTCTCATGACTGAGATCATGACTTGATCCTAAATCAAGAGTCAGATGCTCAACTGACTGAGCCACCCATGAGTGACCTTATTAACAATCTGCTAAACTTAACAGATTTCTACCCCTCTGTTAACTATCTCCTTGTTTTCTTTTTTCTTAGTGGAACGATTGATGACTGTGAGCTGGTGGAGGGGCTGGTACTTACTCAAAAGGTGGCAAATTCTGGCATAACCAGAGTTGAAAAGGCTAAGATTGGGCTTATTCAGTTTTGCTTATCTGCTCCCAAAACCGATGTAAGTAAGAATAAATGAAACAGGTTTCTTGTTCATGTGTTAACTTTTTAATAGCTCAGACTTGTTAATATAAAAACAGAAAACACTGATACTAGTAATAAAAATCATGGGTTTCAAAAGTAATAAAATTGAGGGGGCACCTGGATGGCTCAGTCAGTTAAGTATCTGACTAGCTCAGGGCACGGGTTCACAGTTCTTCAGTTTGAGCCTCGAAGCAGGCTTTGCTATTAGTGCAGAGCCCACTTTGGATCCTCTGTCTTTCTCCCTCTCTCTCTCGCTCTTTCTCTCTCTCACACTCTCAAAAATAAAATATTTTTAAAAAATTAAAATTGAGACCAAAGTAGAAATTGTTGATGACAGGCATGACAAACCTATAGCTTCAGTTGGCCGTCATTGAACTAAGTTCATAGATGAAGGCAAATAGCAATAGAGGCTATGTATGAAATAGGTGATGGAAAAGATATAGTGTAAGTGGAATTTCTAGGTTCTGTTTAGGTTTCTGAGAAACTTCCACCCACCATACAGCAGCAGACAGATCTTTTGTCCTACATTATCACAAATGAAATTAAACCAGATTACTATTTATACTCTAAAGAAATGTTTTTAAAGGTGTTTTCCTATTTTTTATTCGTAAGTGCCATTTCCAAAAGGGGGTGGTTGATCTTGTCACTTCGCTCTGACTTGTTTGCATTTTACATTGTATTGTATTACAAGTTTCTTGTTTAATCCTGTGTTTCCCAAAAGTTTAACCCATAGAAAAATTAATGTTGTTTTATGTACCATTGATTAACATTTGTCCTTGATACCTCCTCGCAGTATACCAGTTTTTCGTGTTTTTTTTTTAATAACAAGCCATAAAGTAAAAAGTATGCAACTGAAATTATTTCAGGCATGCATATATATCTGTATGAAGAAAATTGACATATTCAGAAAATAGGATAATCATTTTACAATTACCAAAAACGTACTTTCAAAAAACATAAGACAACAAGGTGTAGAGATGAAAGTTAAAGACCTGAGTTAAGGTTGGTGTATATTCATCTTCCTAGATCTTTTCTAGGTGTGCATGTATGATTTCTAACATGGTATGATTTTGGTTGAATTTACATGATATGTGATATTTCCATTAAAAATCTTCTTCACTAAAAATCTCTTATAGCAAAAAAAAAAAACCTCCTACAAGGCAATTTATTAATATGTTATTTTTTTTTTCTCAACAGATGGATAACCAAATAGTAGTTTCTGACTATGTCCAGATGGACCGAGTGCTGCGGGAGGAGAGAGCCTATATTCTAAATTTAGTGAAGCAAATTAAAAAAACAGGATGTAATGTCCTTCTCATACAGAAGTCTATTCTGAGGTATGGGGCTATTTCTTTTGTTCACTTTTTTTTTAATATATACTTGAGAGAAAGCGTGTGAGAGGGGAGAGGTTCAGAGAGAGAGACAGAGGATCCAAAGTGGGCTGCATGCTGACAGCAGCACACAAACCATGAGATCATGACCTGAGCCGAACTCCAGTGCTCAAAACAACTGGGCAACCCAGGCAGCCCTCTTTTGTTACCTTTTTTTTTTCCTTAATCTTTTGCTCACTTTTTAATGATCATTTATTTTGGATCCCCTTTAGCAATTGTTTAAGAAACATTCAAAGTGAGTAAATCACTGGAAATCTAAGGTGAATCTTCATTGAAGGGACAACATTGTATTCTGATAATCCTGTAGATTGTCTTCCATTGTGATGATTTAAATGTGTGTGATGATTGAACTGTGGAGTACACAGTTGCTCTTGAACAACTTGGGTTTGAATTGTGGGCCCACTTACATATGATTGGGGTGGGGTTTTTTGTTTTTTTACAGTGCTTTAAATGTATTTTCTTAGTGGCTTTTAAAAGTTTTTTTTGTTTGTTTTTTAATTCTGAGAGAGAGAACGTGAGCAGGGGAAGGTCAGAAAGAGAGGGAGATACAGAATCTGAAGCAGGCTCCAGGCTTTGAGCTAGCTGTTAGCATAGAGCCCGATGTGGGGCTCGAGCCCATAAACCATGAGATCATGACCTGAGCTGAAGTCGGACACTTAACTGACTGAGCCACCCAGGCACCCTGCTTTTTAAAGTTTTATTTAAGTAATCTCTACACTGAATTTGCAGCTCAAACTCATGACCTTGAGATCAAGAATCCCGTGTTCTTCTGACTAAGCCAGCCAGGCACTCCTCTTCGTGATTTTCTTAACATTTTCTTTCCTCTAGCTGTAATAAGAATACAGCAAAGGGTGCCTGGGTGGCTTAGTTGGTTGTGCATTAGACTTTTGATTTCAGCTAGGTAATGATCTTAGTTAGTGGATTTGAGCCCCACATCAGGCTCTGTGCTGAGTTCAGAGTCGGCTTGGGATTCTCCCTTTTTGTCCCTCTCCTGGTATTCATTCTCTCTCTCTCAAAAAAAGTTTTTAAAAAGAATACAGCATATACTACTTGTAACATACAAAATATTGATTGTTCATGCTTTCCAAAAGGCTCTGATCTTTGGATTAAGTTAAATTTGGGGGAAGTCAGGACATCTGGGTGGCTCATTTGGTTGAGCATCCAGCATTTGATTTTGGCGCATGTCATGATCCCAGGGTTGTGAGATTGAGCCCTGTGTCAGGTTTGTGCTGAGTATGGAGCCTGCTTGAGATTTTCTCCTCTACCTCTACCTACCTGCCCTCCTTCCTTGCTCATGTGTGCTCTCTAAAAAAGGGGGAGTCAAAAGTTGTATGTAAATTTTGGGGGTTGTCTGGGTGGCTTGTGTGGTTAAGTGTCCCGATTCTTGGTTTCAGCTCAGGTCATGATCTCATGGTTCACGAGTTTGAGCCCTGCCTCATGTCTATGCTGACAGTGCAGAGTCTGCTTGGGATTCTCTCACTCTGCCCCTGCACAGCCTCCCCCCTCTAATAAATAAATAAGCTTTTAAAAATCTTTAAAAAAAAAAAAAAATCAAATGACAAAATAAAAAGCAGTTGAATGGCAAAGTGGTTTTTATTTTAATCTAGCATTGACATATTCACTGATTTGTATTTCAGAGATGCTCTTAGTGATCTTGCATTACATTTCCTGAACAAAATGAAGATTATGGTGGTTAAGGATATTGAAAGAGAAGACATTGAATTCATTTGTAAGGTAAAATATTTGTAGCATCTATGTGGAAATAGAATCTTAATCAAATGTTGTCTTAATTTGTGGATTTGATCTTTTTCCCAGACAATTGGAACGAAGCCAGTTGCTCATATTGACCAGTTCACTGCCGACATGCTGGGATCAGCTGAGTTAGCTGAGGAGGTCAATTTAAATGGTTCTGGCAAACTGCTAAAGGTAACAGTATTATAATAAGGGATTTTTTTTACCTGGATATTTTGTTTGTTTTAACCCTTATTTCAAATATCTAATTTGGAGTTTGTATGCTAAAGATTACAGGCTGTGCAAGCCCTGGAAAAACAGTTACAATTGTTGTTCGCGGCTCTAACAAATTGGTGATTGAAGAAGCTGAGCGCTCCATTCATGACGCCCTATGTGTTATTCGCTGTTTAGTGAAGAAGAGGTAATATAAGTCACTGAGTAATGTTTTGAGCATTAAATTTCTTCATTTTGAGTGTTTAAGATACAAATAGTAAGTTATTAGAAATAGCTTTCTGATGGACAAACTAAGCTAAAAATGTATTTGTGAATTTCAGAGCTCTTATTGCGGGAGGTGGTGCTCCAGAGATAGAATTGGCCCTACGGTTAACTGAATATTCACGAACCTTGAGTGGCATGGAATCCTACTGCGTCCGTGCTTTTGCAGATGCTATGGAAGTCATTCCATCTACACTAGCTGAAAATGCTGGCTTGAATCCCATTTCTACAGTAACAGAACTAAGAAACCGGCATGCCCAAGGAGAAAAAACTACTGGCATTAATGTCCGAAAGGTAATAATTTAGTCTTTAGTTATTGCAAGAAAAATGTTGATTAAGATTTTAAAAGCTTCATAATCATCTATTGAAAGAAAAACTTTGTAACTAAAAGTTATCTTGGATTTTGGGGCACCTGGCTGTCTTGGTCAAAAGAGCATGTGACTCTTGATCTCTGAATTGTGATTTTGAGCCCCACATTAGGTGTAGAGATTACTTTTTTTAAAAAAGTAATCTTGGATTTAAATATGAGACCTGCAGATTAATTGATTTAGGCCATTGAGTAAGAATGAAAATGATGCCTTAACTGAAAAGTATTCTTTATTATTCTGGTACTTATAGATTGTGTAACTGTTAGTGAGTTACTTGGTCTGTGCTTCAGTTTCCTCAGTTGTAAAAACAAAGACAATAATTTCCTCAAAAGCCTGTTGTGAGGATTGAATGTATTACCAACTAGAAAGCTCTTACTAAGTTGCCTGGCATAGAGTAAACACTATATAAATTTTAACCATTGCTGCTATTGTGGCCAGCAGCCAAGTATGGTTGTATAAGGTAAACACAACAGTAATAATCCCCTTTTGTATTAATATCTCCTTTTATTGAAGAGACAAATAATATATAGTAGGAAAAAAAACTGAAGGTCCTTGGTAGTATTTTCTGAATGATACAGAACTCCAAAGGAAGGGCACTGCCTGGTTAGGGAAAACTTCGTGAAGACACAACTTTGATTGGTAGGGATTGAGGAGATTTCAGGTGGAGAAGCAAATGCTTTACAGGTGAAAGGGGCCAGGAGGTTACTCATTTTGTCTAGTGGCTTATATGTTGGTGATAACAGTGGAATTTAAGTTTGGGAAACTTAGAAAAGAGCTAGAATACACCTTTGAGTGTTGGGGCAGGTATGCGGGGGTTATTTTTAGTCTAGTAGTTGGGAACTGCTAATTTATTTTTTAATCAAAAAGCTAAGATGATGAAAAAGTATTTTAAGGAGGAAAGACTGGAGGCACAGTGGCCTGTTATGGCCATCATAAATTAATGCAATATTGAAAGAAGGGGGACTAAGATAGTGGTAATAACAATTTAAAAGTGGGATTTGAGAGAGATGTAAAGACAGAGCAGAACAGATTTGGCCAGATTTAGAATTAGGATTCAGGGATGGTTTGAGCATTAAAGATCTTACAAAGATTTTAATTAGTATGATTAATTTTTGCCTAGATATTTTTAAGTTAATAGGAGTTGTTTTGGGGTTAGGATTGGGGGGGGGGTCTAGCATTAATTTAGTTGTTTCACATTTTAGTTAAATACAGTCTACAATATAGAGAAGAGCTTAGTAGAGAATATTTTACTTTTGACTACAGCAAGGGAAAACTGGTTTTAAAAGGACTTATTAAGTCATACCAGTAACAATGTAGTTGGTGATGTCAGTAATAATTACAGATACTAAAAGCAATTTATGCTATTTGGCAGGGTGGTATTTCCAACATTTTGGAGGAATTGGTTGTCCAGCCTCTGTTGGTTTCAGTCAGTGCGTTGACTCTAGCAACTGAAACTGTCCGGAGCATTCTGAAAATTGATGATGTGGTAAGTATAGGTTATGAATTTCTCTACAAGATCAAAAAGGCATATTTTTCTAAAGAGTTTTAGGAGGGGAGCAGGGTGGTAAATGATACTTTGTTGGACATCAGGTGATAACAGTTGATATTTTTACAGTCTTTTCTCACTTGTGAAAATTGGAGTGATTTTGTAATTGCCCTAAACCAGCGTTAAAATTTTATCATTACAAGTTGTGGAACTCAAGTTTTTTTCTTGTCAGGTAAACACTCGGTAATCAGATAACCCTGGCCAACTGGCACCATCGCAGCCACTAATGGTGTCTTTGGAGTGGAAGATCACCTTGATGTTCCTTGCTCTTTGGAAGATTGTTTTCCTCTACAAATTCTCGGCCTGGTCTTCCAGTTGGCACTTGCTTGAAATTGTATTGACGCAATTTAATTAAAATATTAAGTGTTTGGTTTCAAAAGGCAGATTATTTGTTGGCTCTTCTCCCCTCAACAGTCTGTTACTTCTGATATTCTTGAAAAACCTATATAAGAAGAGAAAATGGATTCACATTCACCTGCTGATTCTTTTAGGTTTCAGTCCTGGGTACTTTAAGTTGTTTATTTTAAATAAGTATAGAGAATTTTAAATGGCCCTGCTCATCACCCTGGTAAATCCCCATTTACACAAAAATATCAAAGTCTTACTATATGCCATTTTGAAAGTTAACAGTGTAAAAAGATAGTGAAAAATGAAAAATTCCCTTTACTCTATCATCCTAATCTCTTCTTCCAAGAATATAACCATTATTGTGATAATTGGGATTTCTTTTACAAATAAAACTATATACATATATGTATCAAATCTTATTTGTACATAGGGATTCTTAAAATAATCATTTCTTCAGTGGTTTACAATGTCTTCATTGCCTCTGTCCTGATCCAAGCATCATTTTTTGCCATGAGTTATGTAAAATCTCCAGACTAGTCTCTATCCTTGCTTTGACTTCCTTCCAATCAGTTCTGTACACTCTAGTGATTATCAAAAATTTGTCGGGGAACACCTTGGTGGCTCAGTCGGTTAAGCATATGACGTTGGCTCGGGTCATGATCTCATGGTTCAGGAGTTCGAGCCTCGCGTCAGGCTCTGAGCTGTCAGCACAAAGGAGCCTGCTTTGCATTCTGTGTCTGCCACTCTCTCACTCACATTGTCTCTCTCTCTCAAAAATAATTTTTTTTTAATTTGTCAGGCATTCCCATTCATAAGTTTTCATGGCTCCTGACTACTTTTGGATAAAAGACTTTTTTGATACAGACCATAAGTTGGGCCTATACAATCTGGTACCACTTGGCCCACCATCTCCTGTGTTGTATTTCACAAAGATTATTATGAATAAAGGTGGGGCCCTCGATATCCCTGGAAAAATAATTTCAACCAACCAATCTGAAGTTTGTTTTGCATCTGATTACTCATTTAGTTAATGAACTAATTTGGTAGATGATAGGTCTTCATTAAGTCAAATTTTTGTAATCCAAGGGCACCTGAGTGATTTAGTTAAGCGATTGACTTCAGCTCAGGTCATGATCACGGGGTTCATGGATTTGAGCCCTGTGTTGAGCTTTATGGTGACAGCTCTGAGCCTGGAGCCTGCTTCAGATTCTGTGTCTCCCTCTCTGCTCTACCTGCTCACACTTGTCTCTGTCCCTCTCTGTAAACATTTTTTAAAAAGCATTCTAATCCAAATGATTTATATTTGAGCTTTTTTAAAAAATCAGTTACTCAACACAAGGTTTGTAGGCTATACCTAAGCAATAGAAGTTTATATCACAAAATTCTTTTCTTTTTTAATTTTTTTAAAAAAACTTTTTAATGTTTGTTTTTTGAGAGAGTGAAAGAGCGTGCGAGCCAGGGAGGGCAGAGAGGGAGACAAAATCTGAAGCAGGCTCAAGGCTCTGAGCTACCCTCAGAGAGCCTGTTGCAGGGCTCGAGCTCAATCTGCGAGATAGGAACTGAGCTGAAGTTGGACATTCAACTGACTAAGCCACCCAGGTAGCCCTATAAAAGAACTCTTCTAAGACAAACGTTTATTACTCCTTTTTTCTGTTGAATTTGTTTTCATATAAATTAAGCCACTAACCACTTTGTTTAGGGTTTGATTCAAGTTTTACAACAGTTTATGAAATAATCTAAGTTCTATTTTTTAAGGAATGGGAGACCAAATGAGATTGCTCAAAAAAGTTTTATCTAGCTATAATGCTTAAATATTTAAAAGGTGTGCATTAAAAAATGTTTTCTATTTATTTAATGTTTATTTTTGAGAGAGCACAAGCAGGGAAGGGGCAGGGAGAGACAAACAATCCAAAGCAGGCTCCAGGCTCTGAGCTGTCAGCACTGAGCTAGACACGGGGCTTGAACCCACAAATCATGAGATCATGACCTGAGCCAAAGTCCAACACTTAACCAACTGAGCCACCTAGGCTTCCCAAAATGTGTGCTTTTTAATAATGAGAAAGGATATGATTACACCCTAATAGGGCAGAGACTTTGCAGACTTGTTTTTTTCCTCCTGAGTGCTATTCTTAATTCTCATTTTTATTATGAAAATTATCAGATACATAGAAAAGTTTATAAATAGCGCAGACATTATACCCTCTGCCTAAACTTAACAATTGACATTTTGCCATGCAGTCAGGTCTGTAACATGACATTCCTAAAAATCATGATACACAAAATTGTGCAGTAGGAACCATGGGACTTAAAAAAATGTGGTTAAGGGCACAACACTGAAAAACTTCCAATGGCAACAAAAGAAACCTAGTAAAAATAGCTACATACGGAGTGCCTGGATGGCTCAGTTAAGTGCCTGACTCAATTTTGGCTCAGGTCATAATCCAACTGTGAGCGAGTTTGCTTCGCTGGCAGTGCTGGGAATTCTCTGTCCCCTTCTCTCTGCCCCTCCCGTGCTCACTCAAAAAAATAAAAAGCAGGTCTACACGTGTTTCGAAGTTTCTTTTTCGAAATTTACTTACTTGAGGAGCAGACATGGTGAGAGAGAATCACAAGGAGCCTCTGCTCTCACTGTGGAGCCTGAGGCATGGCTCAAAGTAACAAACCTGTGAGATGGTGACCTGAGCCAAAGTCAAGAGTCAGACACTTAACCGACTGAGCCACTCAGGCACCTCGACATGTTAATAATTAAATACATAACTGGGGTGCCTGAGTGGCTCAGTCAGTCGAGCATCCAACTTCGGCTCAGGTCATGATCTCACGGTTCATGGGTTTGATCCCTGCATCAAGCTCTGTGTTGACAGCTAGCTCAGAGCCTGGAGCCTGTTTCAGATTCTGTGTCTCCCTCTCTCTCTCTGACCCTCCCCTGCTCGTTCTCGCTCGCTCTCTCAGCAATAAATAATAATTTAAAAAAAATACATAACTATGTGGGGCACCTCGGTGGCTCAGGTAAGCATATGACTCAGTTTTGACTTCAGTCAACATCTCCCAGTTCATGAGTTTGAGCCCCACATTGGTCACCACACTGACAGTGTGGAGACTTGGGATTCTATTTATCCTTCTCTGTCCCTCCCCTGCTCCGACCTTCTCTCCCAAAATAAATAAACTAAAAAAAATACTATGTTAAATATGCCACATTACCTTGAAAAGCACCTCCTAAACCTTGCTTGTGGCGGTGGATGGAAGTGGCAGCTGTCATTGGAAAGTTGGAGGAGGAGGGTTATCTGACAGATGACAAAGTTGTAACCTGATGTGGATGGATGTAGCTCATGAAGGTGAGTTCATGTACTAATGTATTTGAGATACTGCATGTATGTTTTGTATGTTACTGGGTAGTTTAATTCAGCTGGGTGTCCTTTTCTAAGGAAATCACAAGCATATTTGAAATTAGCATCTTGCTCAGATTGTTCACCTGCTGCTTTAAGATTTCTCTCGACATGTTTACAATGATGTGTCGAAGTGTGGATCCTTTGAGTTCTTTGTTCTTGGATATACAGATTTTTCCAGTGGTCTTGTTGAATTGAGACAATAGGGATCAAAGGTCAGAATGACTAGGGTGGGCTAGAAGTTGTGGCACAAAGTACTATAGAGGAAGCTTCACAGGGGTTCCTCCAGAGGTGTGTGGAGGAGTAGTCTTGAGTTCTTGGCCAAATACTTATTTTTGTATTTGAGGGGTAAAATTGTAAAGTCCATGGAACAACCACTGGAAAGTAGTAGCTGACAGTTTACAAAGAGCCAGGAATAGAGGCTACAGTAAGCAATTGATTGCCTTAGTGTTGAGACTAAAGTTCTAAAATAAAGACTGCCCTAGACTCCTCGTAACAAGATTTGTTTAAAGGATCAAACTAATCCCAAATAACTTATCTATGTATCAGAACAAAACTTAGAACTTTTAATGATAAAATCCACTCAGTACTCTAAAATTCTTGATATATGGCATTCAATAAAAAAGTGTTGGTCATGAAAATGAAAGGACTAACTCAAAGCTGTATGGAGAAACACAGATCTCGATAAAGGTGAATAGATGGTTAACAATGGTTCATAACTTTTTCTCTTCTGTATGATTTAGGAAACATTAACATTTAAAGAAAAATTACCAGTTTAAAAGTAGTACTGTAAATTCAGTTTGTAACTTTTCAGTCTTTCTTCATGCATAATTTCAGAGAATGCATTTAAAAGAATTTGTGTTTTGGGACACACAGTGCATAAAGATGTAATTTTGGGGGCACCTGGGTGGCTCAGTCGGTTAAGCTCAGGTCATGATCTCACGGATTGTGAGCTTGAGCCCCGTATTGAGCTCTGTGCTAACAGCTCAGAGCCTGGAGCCTGCTTCAGATTCTGTCTCCCTTTCTCTGCCCCTCACCCATTCATGCTCTCTCTCTCTCAAAAATAAACATTTTTAAAAAATAGTATGGCAGGGGCACCTGGGTGGCTCAGTTGGTTAAGTGTCTGACTTTGGTTTAGGTCATGATCTCATGGTTTGTGAGTTCTAGCCCATGTCAGGCTCTATGCTGACAGCTCAGAGCCTGGAGCCTGCTTCAGATTCTGTGTCTCTGTCCTTCCCCTACTTGCTTGCTCGCTCGCTCACTCAAAAATAAACATTAAAAAAATTTTTTAAAGTAGTATGGCAGTTCCTCAAAATAAAAGTACAGGGGCGCCTGGGTGGCTTAGTCGGTTAAGCGTCCGACTTTCGCTTAGGTCATGATCTCGCGGTTCGTGGGTTCGAGCCCCACGTCGGTCTCTGTGCTGACTGCCAGCTCGGAGTCTGGAGCCTGTTTCGGATTCTGTCTCCCTCTCTGACCCTCCCCTGCTCACGCTGTCTCTCTCTCTCTGTCTCTCTCTCTCTCGCTCTCTCCTAGAAGTAAATAAAACATTTTTTAAAAATTAAAAAAAAATTAAAAGTATAATTACCAGGGCACTTGCATGACTCCGTTAAGCATCTGATTCTTGATTTTGGCTCAAGTAATGATCTCT